TTATCATCGTTATTACTATAATCATTATCATTACTATTGCCAAAATATGATTAGAGTACTGGCCACTTGATAAAGCCTTAACATTCATTTTCAGTTAACTCGGTTGATAAAACCAAATTATATTGTCATACTTCCCCATCGAAGCAGCACCACATTTTATTTAGAAACTTATAAATTACCTCACTTAGAAGTTTATAAAGTCTGGTTAACCACCTTAGCGAACTAAAGAAAGGTTGACGTTTCGATTGGAGAAAGTCAGCTTTATTCACACATAGCTAATAATCAATGAGAAGCTGGGTGTGCTTCGCATACAGATACAGACTTAAAATAGAGAGAAGATGACACGAAATGGTGATTTGCCCTGTGAAATGTGACCTTAATCATTAAAAAAATTACAATTTAAATTCCAAAGCTCCCCACAGCCTTCGCTCTATAAGCTGTAATATTAAGGACACCACTGTACCTTATCGACTCCATTCTTCTGATAGTTTTGAAAAACGCTACTGCCATCCTCGCTGTAAGTAAAAGTATAACTTCTCACCCATTCACTGCCGTAGTAATTTCGACCTTGAGTTGCAAACTTTGTGACTTTTACATTTCGTCTGAACTCGATTTGAAGCCACTGATTGAGATCATTGCTTCCCGCTGACCAAGCGCTTGTTTTTTCCTCGGGCGGATGGGCGGTTTAGTCTGGCTTTTTAATTTTTTTGTATTTTATAACAGGCAGTTTATTTAAAATAAGGAATCTAGAATTCTGTATAAACTGGCCTAATTACTCAGATATCTCTTTTTTATACTTGTATATATATTTAACTCCTTGTTTTTGTTTTTGTTTTTGTTTTGATTATCTGTGTAATTGAATTTGAGTAAACAAATAAATAAATAAAAATTCATAAAAAAAAGTATTTTAAATATTGCCTATTTGTTTGTAATTCACGGACAAAAGCCTTTTCTGCTAATAGTCAAGCTGCCATGCGCTACCACCCCCTCGATAGCCTACTTACAGGCGGTAGCATGGTATAATGCGGCTTTTCTGGTTTTACTTCCCCTCCCCTTCGATTTGTCACTCGTCCCAGATCTTCCACCCGCCATTATGACCAGCAAGGGTATTCGTCGCGCAGAATTTCGCATAGGCTCCCTCCTCGGACACGCAACCATTCATTGCATGGTCCACGAAGGGATAAAGTTCATTTGATCATGTTGCTAAGCTTACCGAGGTACATCGTCGGAAAAGCACGGAGTCTCTATAATTTATAATGGCTGGTGATATAAAGAGTATTGTCGACTACACAAGATATCCCATTGCAGAGTCTGAGAGCCACATTCTTCAAGAAGTCATTAACCGTGCGAGAAGCGAGCTCAAGGACAACGGAATCACCTTGCTGCGGGGTTTTATGCTTCCTTGGGCTATTCGTCAAACAATCCTGGAGGTAGAAGAAGCCTTACCGATTGCATTTCGTGCAACAAGTGATCACAATGTCTATCTTGAGGAATGCAAGGAAGATTCGGTCCTCGGGAAAGACCACGCGAGGAATATTTTGTCTCGATCTTCAAAATGTTGTGTTACGCATGACCAAATCAAGACAAACTCGCCTCTAAATCTGCTCTACATGTCCCGGAGATGACAGACTTTGTTTGACTTCTCCTTCACAGGGACATGCTCTACCGTACGGCTGATCCTCTAGGAGCCTTAAATGTGCACGTTTACAGAGAAAATGACTGGGGGGAGTTCGCTGTTCTTCAAGCACCAGAGGGTGGGGGACTTTTTCAATATATCCCATCAACTAGCTAAGTTTTTGTTTGTCGTTTTCCGCAGCTCAGAATACCTTTCTTTTCACTCTCAAGATCTTGGTGATAATGGTGCTTGTGAACCTCAGAAGATGTGCCAAAGGCTAACGGAGGTGTTTAATTTTCTGACCTGGTTGTAGCTGAATTATATCTGTATACAAGAGACATCCAATTCTGAAAGTTATAATTTACCGCTGTTTCTGTAGACAAAAGACGTCTTATTCTGAAAGTAGTAATTTACCACTGTACAACCCAACCCTCCTCATCTTAAGTGACCTTTGGAAATATATCAACCCAAGGGGAGTGGGGAAAAGGCAATAGTTTGACATATCACTCCCTTAGGGAGGGTACTTTCTTAAGCTCCAGCTCTAAAAAAATTAGAATAAATCTACTTACAATCTATCACAATTTCTGCCATCTGATTGGCTATGCTACTTGCAATCGAGTTCTTGATAGACAGTGAGCCCCAGACTGAACCAACACTCAGGGTCTTAAAATAACTGAGGAGAGTGCGCTGCCTCTACCATGACATCTGCCAGTGGATGGACATTCTGGTCATCTCAGAGAAAGTCACTAAACCGTAGGTTTTTGTGTGCGTGTACACCTGCTGGCATTTCTTCCTTCAGTCTGCACTTACTTTTTTATCCAAAATAAGCGGGGAGGTGAGGGCAGGCCTTTCCCCTAGATCCCGGTTTGTGGTCTGGCCTTGATTCAGAAACCGGAGGCTGTCTGACCTAAGTCCCCAGCTAGGTGTTGTAAACTTGAATGAAATTTAAAATATTGCTTTGTTGCAAATAGATCAGATGGAAATGAAAGCTATAACCTTGTCAGGCAAGTGCTACTGGTTACTAAAGCTGGACAAGATCTGATGGCTCTTGGTGTGAAACATGCTGACATTCAGCCAGGAACCCTCGAGATATTCTCTGGGAAAAACTCTATGCATTGTGTCACCCCTGTTGGGGGCCAAAAGTCTAGAATCCTTCCTGTTTTATCCTATGAGCAGAAACCTGATGTTCACTTGAATGAATATACAAGAATGAAATTTTATGGGTGCTTGAAATAAACCAGATCTGTAAATATTATTTTTTTACTTTATTGACCTTTAGAACCAGGTTTTTGGACCATTCTACCTTCATTATCAAGTTTTAAATGTCACAGTAAAAGGAAAGTGTGGGTATATATTATACAAATAAAGTAAAAATTGAGAAAAACTCATTTATGATCAAAACATCCTAAAAGTATTTTTACTGTTGAATGTTTTCACACACCATTATTGTTAGTTAGTAATGTTTTGTTTTGTTTTTTATTTTTTTGTTTTTGTTTTTTGTTTTTTATTTTTTAACAAGCACAGTAAATTGTGAAGCAAAACCTATGTTATCCAGGATTACTTTTAACACTCAATTGCAAATTTTTCTGAGAACCAGCTTAGTTCATGTCCATATAAAAGTAGAAATTCTGCAGAAGGGACGTCTTGCAATTCCCCTGTCCCCCAATTGTGTGATAATTCATACAAATCTTGGAGAGAAAGCTACTTCCAATACAATCTTATCATTTGGATTTGCAAGAACAACCCTTTAGACCCCATGAATCATCAAAATCTGCTTTCTTCTTATAGTAACACTGCTGAATCATTCATTCAAAGTATGGAGAACATAGCTCTTGAGATATTTCTATGCTTCAAGAGATCATTAACTCTTGTCTGCGCGTAGAGATATCCTAACACTTAAGATCTTATACTAAAATATCTTAATTTGATTAGAAGAATCAGTCATGATTACTCGTCCCACTCTATCTACGGCAACTCCATACGGTTTACAAAGGCTCTCTCTTGCACATTCTGCTATAAGGTGCCCATCTTCTCCCGAAAACACTAGAAGGCAATTTCTCATACCATCCGCCATCAACATGTTGTCATTAGAATCAACAGTGATGGCTCCGGGAGCAAAAACTTTGTCAGATTTTGAGAATGGAAGCGAAATGTGTCTCAGAGGTTTTCCATCTGTGCTCAGTACTTGGAGGGCGCCATCGTTCACCAGGGATGTTACAATCTCTCCTAAAATTATACAAACGGAGAAGGATTTTAGATTTTTTCATAAGTATCTGGTATGATAGATAACATGATGTCAGAATGGTGGCAGCTTGCAGACAGGCCCCGATTTTAAAATGAAAAAAGAGAACAAGATGGGTGAAAACACTGGGAACTCAGTGGCGGATCTAAGGGGGGGTCCGGGCCCCCCCTTATTTTGGGTAACTATAAGAAACTTACAAGGAAGAAAAGCCGGCAGGTGTACACACAAAAAGACCTTCGCCCCCTCCCTTAGCTCAAGGTCTGCCCTGCCACTGGAACTAATGGCTGCGTAGCTCTCACTTCCCCTTTTTTTTTTTACGTTCAGTTACTAAACTTCATTGGGAAGAACCAATAAAAGTGTGCTTTTGACTCCGTCTATATGGTGCCAAAAGAGGTATAGCCCTGTGCCCATCCCTTTTGACCGCCAATGTAACAAATCGATATTGGTTTAGCGTCTTCAGCTGCGCCTCGTGTGTCCACAACATTGTGACCATAGTGATAACGAATATCGTTGTTGATAAGAGTACAGACCACGCTAAGGCACTTTCGATTTGTTGTTTACCACGGTACCGACATCAATTAAAACGATTCTTTCAATGATAAAGGCATTGCGTGACACATTGACGCGAGCAGTGTTGTCTGACTGTAATCGATAACGGCAAATTGCGACATTACTGCCAATTGTGGTAAAAAGTTACATAGGGAAAGGTTATATCCGAGGTTCTATTATTACTGAATAATGCAAGAACCTGTCGTAAAATGTGTTAACCCGAATAGTTCAATACCTTTTCTGTTTATTGCAACCCCACGGAGTTTGCTGCGGAGTCCATCGTCTTCATCTGGACATCCAACTTGAAAGTGTGACAAGTACTCCCCGTTACTGTCAAACACATAAATTTTCCTGTTTTGGCAATCAGTAATATAAACTTGTTGTTCTTTTTGACCAAAGACTACGTATGAGAACTTGGCGCATTTTTCGTCTTCGTCTTCAGGAAGTTTCAATCTTTTCACAAACTTTCCCTTCGCATCAAACATTTGCACCGTTCTACCGCTCCAATCAGAGACGAAAAACTTTCCGTCGTTGCTCACCGCTACACCCAAGGGACCACCGGGGAATTCACCACAACTGCTTCCTTTGTTTCCAAAAGCAAACAAAAACTCTCCAAGGGAATCAAAAATTTGCACGCGGAAATTGTTCCTGTCACATACAACGATTCTGTTGTCCTTGTCCACTGTTACTCCCCTAGCGCCTTTCAATTCTCCCGCCTTTTCCCCAGGCCCTCCTATCACCAGCTGTGGTTGGGTCATGTTTTTGTAGTCCCTCGTGGCGAAAGGCACGTGAACTGCGAAAGGGCTTTCATTCATTGAGCAGCCACGAATAGTAATGTGAATAAGATGTTTTCCTGGTATGGAAGGAGTGTAAGAAACGTTGTGTTTCCCGCCATTTTGCGCGTTGATTTCAGCCTCGTTTAATGTGCCATCCAGGGACTCGATCTGAACACGTAAGTCAGAGGTCTCGCATTCAATAGGTCTTCCTTTTCTATCCCTGAGTAAAAATGGAGATTTTGAAATCCTCGCGCGTATTGATGATGAACAACGGAAACTCTATCATTACAACGCAAAAAGGTACAAGAAAAGCAGCAGACTTTCAAAATGATTAGATTTTTGACGTTACATATACACCGACATCTCGTACATAGAGATTTTGAGATCTAGCAGATGGAGGGGGGACGCTTTGGTTGAGTCACAATGAAATTTGCCTGATCTGATCCCTACCTTAGGCTCTAAAGCATTCTTATGATCTTCCCTCATCTGCAGTCAATTTTCTATAGTCCTCTGTTAGCGACTACTGACCCCCCTCCGTTTCCCCTGAAAAACATGCAGCCTCCCCCCCTAAAAAAAAATCTTCCGATCCTCCTCAGGCGACAAACAATGACTGGTCCCTTTGGGGTCCTTCGGGGTCCCTTTGGGGCTCTTACGCTGCCGGGACCAATTTAAGGAACGAACCCGAGGCTCCAACCCAGACCTTCTCATCCATTGTTCAATATAATGACCGTTAAAGTGTACCTAAACCCAAAAATTTTTTTTCGCTCAACGAAATAAGCGTATTTTTTGGAGTATTTCTGTGCAAACATTTTTTTATTTGCTCAAATCTTCAATT